CCCCCCCACAAGAGCCCAGTCCCTGCCCATGTCACAAAGCCCACCTTCATGACCGGCTGCAGCATTGTGAACGGTTGTTGGGTAATCACAGGTGGGGTTGGGGGCGGGGCACCGGGCAGGGCGGTGGATGCTGGCCTGGCCTTTGAAGGGTTAACCCCTAAGGCACCTCAGAAGCTGCTCTTCCTGGGGGTTGGCTGGGAGCACGGAGATAAGAGGGCTGGTCATTGGGGCCACAGGGGTGGCCCACATTTCTAAGGACTGGACCTAGAGACCAGAAATTGTCTCAGCACCACAGGGAGAAGGTTCGGCCGAGGGTCAGGATGTGGTTCAAAAGAGCTGGACACAGGCCTGTTACCCAGGAAGGTGGGAAGACAAGACAGAGCGCCCTTTGTTCCCACTTCACAGGATGTGGGGCCCGCGTGGCCTGCTCTCCCGTTTCATGGGCACAGTCTTGGGAGGGTGCCCACCAGGATGAGTGGCATGGATACTGGCTCTATTCTTAGTTTCCAGACAATGCGCTCAATAGGGCAGCAGACCCAGCTGTGGACGGGCCCTACAAGTGCTGCCTGCTGAGTGGCTGGGTTGGTTTTGGGGTGAGCAGCCTGAAGCTGGAGTCAGGCCTGCCTGCTCCATTCAGAAAAGCGGCCCCCTGAGCCACAGCCCACCTCATCAAGAGGGTCCCTGCGGATCAGTAGGGTAACCTGGGCGTTCCTGGAAGTAGGGAGCAAAAAACCATAATTCCCTAATGCTTTTGAGTTCCCGGGGATTTTATTGCTGCCCTCACTCACCTTCCCCACCTGCCTCAGCATTACCATGCCCTGCCCCCACTTAGCGGCTCACCTGTCCCCTTTATCAGGGCCCTCGGGGACAGGCACACCCAGAATGGCTGATCTCAGCATCACATAGTCACGGCTGTCTGAGGGGATGAAGATATAACGCAGGTCCTGTTGGGGCAACAGAGACACTGAGCCCTGGTGGGAACAAGACCATGTCTAGCTCCTGCTCACAAGGGACAGCCCCTCACCCAGTCCAGCCACCCATCCTGTCGGGAGAACTTCCCTTATATGAGGTGTGATCAAACAAGACGATGAATGTTTAAAAAAGAAATGATCACAGTAAAAAAATGCATTGTCATTAATCCCCCTCAAAATACTCCCCCTCACTTCAAACATCGTTCTTACTACTTTCTGAAGCAGTTCTGGAAGTCATCTTTTGTGAGTGTCCTTAGTTGCACTGTCGTGGCTGCCTCGATGTTTGAATTATTTTAGCTTTGGGGAAGAGCCAGAAATTGCACGGTGCAAGATCTGGTGAATAAGGTGGATGAGGACACACCATAATGTTTTTATGTGACAGAAACTGCCGTATACCAGCAGTGATGTGAGCCACGGAGCGTTGTCATGATGGGGGATGATTTACCGCAGGCTTTAAAACATACCTTCTGTCAACCGTAGCTCACACCTGACTGCACAGAACAAGTTGAAACTTGTCACACACTGTTACTAAGGTTTGACGCACTGCTTCCTGTATTGAAGATCCCTGCCTTTCCGCTGGATGGCACTTGGCAGCAGCATTCACCATAGTTTGTGGTCACAACAGAAGGGCTCTGTGGCACACATCACTTCTGGTATACGGCAGTTTCTGTCACATAAAAACATTACGGTGTGCCCTCATCCACCTTATTCACCGGATCTGGCACTGTACAACTTCTGGCTCTTCCCCAAAGTCAAAATGACCATGAAAAGTAAACATTTTGAATCGATTCAGGACATCAAGGCAGCCCCGACAGCGCAACTAAAGACACTCATGAAAGAAGACTTCCAGACTGCTTCAGAAAGTGGCAAGAACGATGGGATAAGTGTATGGAGTGAGGGGGAGTATGTTGAGGGAGATTAATGGCAGTGTGTCTCGTATGGTAATAAATTTTTTTAAATTTAAACATTCACCGTATTTTTTTATCACAATTTATGTGCCTGTGATTGCCACTCTGTTAGTGTGGTGGTGGCTTCAGTACATTCCCAAATCCTTTGGTGCTCTTCCCTTCCAGAAGTGACGCTTACTCGCCCATCCCCTTGAGTATGGGCCAGACTTACTAATGAATAGAAAATTTGTAACAAATAGGAAAAAAATGGAAGTGACAGAGTGTGACTTTGGAGACCAGGTCATAAAAGACACTTCGCCTCCTTGCTGTCTGAGGTTACTCACTCTGGGTAAAGTGAATTGCCATATCGTGAGGACACTAGTAGCCTTTAGAAGGGCCGTGTGACGGGCCCGTGAGGGCGCCACCTTGACTCAGGCCTCAGTCAGGCCTTCTGATGACTGCAGCCACCTGAGAGGCCCTGAGCTGCTTCCGAATTCCTGGCCAGTGGAAACTGTAAGGCAGTGCGTGTGGTAGCAAGCTACTCAGTTGTGGGGTATTTTGTTACACAGTAACAGGTAACTCATACAGGTGCTGTGGCCACACCAGAAACAAAGCTGCCCCATCTTGTTCTTTCATGAGCTGAGAGAGGGTCTACTGTGAGGCGTTGGTGCGTAGACACTGTGGCTAGGACACTCCTGAATTCCCTGGTCAGAGGAGGAAGCTTCTAGAAACCCAGCGCAGCCCCTCTGAGCATCACAGAACCCCTTATCCNCTGTACCCAGTTCTATTGAGGTTCCGCCGTTTGATGTGTGCCTCAAATATAGGGTGGCTGCCCTGGGGCAGAGGGAGTGAAGGAAGGAAGTGGGGGGCAGGCAGGTGGCTGGCAGGAGTGGCAAGGCTGGCCCGGGGCTGCCCTCTAAATGACCCTGGATAGAGGATGTGGCACTCTTCCTGCCCCTTCCCTAAACCAGGCCCCTCCTGCAGTGGGGGATCCTTTCCCCCCGAGGATAGAGGCCCAGGCAGGCCTGGGGGGGATAGGCCTCGCTTAGGGATATCATGGATCAAATTAAGTGCTATTCACACCTGTACTCTGCTGCTGTGAATTCCTGAAAGGGAAGACCTCTTACCTGGTCACAGGTATGCAAAGCTGTCAGTAGCATGAGGGCCCCAGTACTAGGCATATATAGGTCTCCAAAATTTGTGTTAATCAACTTTGATTTCAAAAACCTGGAAGCAAAAAGGCATTAAAAACTCAATATGTTTAGGTCTTGGCCCACTAGCTCGATGGTTGTGCCATTACATTTCACAATGACCAATTCAAAAAGGTTGGAAAACTTCAAAAACTTCTGGCCCCTCTACACCACTCCAATCCCTAGTTGGGAAAAAACCAAATGAGCTCCTAAATGCAACAATTTTCAGTTGAAATAACACCTTAGGTAACAAAGTGGGGGTGAGAAAGGAACAGGTCAGTCCAAAAGACCCCCAGGTAAGATCCCGCTTTGTCTAGAGGCCTGAATCCAGCATAAATACTTTTCCTTTCTGTAACTGCCTGCCCTTACCCCAGGGCTAAGCAACCACACCACCTAGGGCAGAGGGGGCCTGCATTTAGCCAAACAGGGCACAGGTCCTGTGACTTCCGCACTGGTGAGATGGTGTAAATGTGTGCGAACATACTCGCGGGGTCCAGAAGGGGGCCACACTATGGGGACCGTGGGCCCTGACCTCAGCCCTGGGTTCCCAGCCAAGCTTTGCCAGGCAAACCTGGCCTCTCAGCCTATCTCCTTGTCGCAGGGGTCTGTGACTGCTGGGCTCCAGCTTGCCCAGCTCCCCTTACACCCGTCACCTGCTTTTGGGCGGCTAGCCTTTGGGTGACAGCAGTGTTTCTCAACCAAGGCACTACTGACATGTGAGAAGGGCCCGATAATTTGTTTGCAGGGCTGTCCTGGGCATTGTAGGATGTTCAGCCGCATCCCTGGCCTCTACCCACTAGTGGCACGTGCCCTCACCTAGTGACAACCAAATGACCTCCCTCCCCGCCACTGCGAACCACTGGTAGGAGGGACAGAGGGAAGTGAGACTGGTCCCCCAGGGTCCTGTGCTCCCCTCAGGCTGGCTGTGTTTGGGCTCAAGGGTGATGACGGACAACTGCTTCTCCCAGCCCCACTGCTGCCCCACAGCTTGTGGGACCCCCACGCCCAGCCTGTGCTTTGTGAGCATCACTGGTAAATAAACCTGGAGCTCTTCCCAGTTTCCTGGCCATTTCCTGTTGACTCTGACTGACACCACCAGCTCCATCAAGGTATTCAAGTAGTAAGTGCAGAATAACAAGTGCTTGGCACCCGACTAGGCACATGGGTGCAGTGTATGGGGCACCAGCGGAAGGGCCTGCAGTGCCGTGGGGACCCTCCCACCGCCACCACCTACCTCTCTGTCAGGTAGCTGATGAAGTCTGGATGGAGTAGCTTGAATTGACTGGCGGAGGCTTCTGGTCCAAAATAGGTCTGAGGCCTATTTTGAGAAGAAGTGGACAGAGCGGCCGACACTGTCGTATTGCGCTAAGGTGAAGGAGTGGCGGCGGGGCAGGGCGCGGCGGGGCCGGGGGTGGGAGTAGTAGCGGGAGAAGGGGGTGTAGAAGGTGGGCGGCAGCGCGGAAGGCACCACGTGCGGCTTGGCGCTCACCAGCACCTCGATGGGCGGGGTGTAGGTGAGCGAGGACGGGGGCGTGGCTGTGGCGGGCGAAGCAGGGACTCAGGGGCAGCGGGGCCGTAGGGGGCTGGAAGAAGGGGGGCTCCTGCAGGAAGCGGGGCACATAGGGGGCGATGGAGGACGGGAAGCCCCGAGTGGGCCCGATGTAGGAGGCCGAGGGGGCAGGGCTGTAGAAGGGGGACCTGGTGAGAGGCGCGCTGGGACTTTGCGAAGAGTTGCGAGAGACGGATTTCAAGCCAGATTGGGAGGGAGATTTGGAGGGGGGTGGGGTGG